TGTATTGTTCTTTTTTAAATTATGACTTTTTATGATTTTCCAAAAACCAAAATAAAACGTTGATTCTGTGATTTTACGATGTATTCATATGAGAAAAAGCAAGAAAATCTGTAAAATGTCAATGAAAATATATTTAGTATTTTGTTTATCCCTTAATACACAAAACATTTCTTTCAAATAATAATAATGCAAACATTTGTAAAATAAAAATTCCAATTTTTTATTTATTTATTAATTTTTTACCATTTTTTAATGCTTAATATATCTTTTGTCAAACGCCAGCAAATGTCTATAAAATAATCAGATTTTTTTGGATGATTTAAGCACAAAAACAAAACAAATAGCTTCATTCTACAGTCAAACTCTGTAAAATTACAGATTTATTTTTACATTATTTACAGTTTTGTGTTTGTATTTTGACTTAACATGTAAATAAAACTTCTTTTTGGTGACTTCACTGGTTTTCATCGTGTCATCGTTTAAACTAAAATGTTAAAAGAAAACTATAATTTCTGACTTAAAGTTCTAAAAAGGTCATTCTTTGTAGCCTATTGCTCTATAAATTTCCCTTTAACTCCCTGTGACAGCGACACTGAGCCTGTGGACGGCCGGCGCTGACCTCTGACCTCCACATCTGGATCTCATGCAGATGTTCGTACCTTCTCCAGGGCTGAGTCCATGTCGGCTCCTCGGCTCCTCTGTCTTCTCTCTCGGCTCCCAGAACAATGAGGCTTTAAATTCCTGTCCTGCCGACCACACTTCCTCTCCGCCGCCCGCCCGCCCACTCTGGCTGCAGCTTCCCCGTCTAGACGTTCATCCACTCGCCTCCTCCTCCGGCTTCGTCTCCTCTTCTGGCTTCTTTGTCAGCTCCTTTTTCCTTCTTCTTCTTCCCCCCCCTGCGGTCCTCCTCCTCCTCCTCCTCCTCCCTCCAACAGGTTTCTTCACCTCCTGGTTTTGCTCCAACACGTCTCTGGAAGGCTTTGTTTTTTCCTCCCTCCTTCCCTCTCTGTGGATTCTCTCTGCTGTGTTCAGGCTCTTGCCGCCGCAGACCGTCGGTTCAGCTCCTCTCTGGACCTCAGAACCACCTGAGGCCCGACTGGACTGTTTGTGTTTTTAATCCCGGACAAAGACTGAGGGATTCCCTGCTCACACTCTCTTCGGCCAATCAGAGCGGGGCCTGAAAAACTCCTCGGCCAATCGGGGCTCCGGATATTCCTCCTCCTCCTCCTCCCATCCTGCAGAGTTCTGCAGGAATGTGGACTAAAAGGCGAGCACCTCGGTTCTGCTGGTCCACACACTGGTGCTGAACTCAGAACCTGACTCAGGGTTTTAGTGGTGAACTCTGGAGCCCGCGATGCCTTCAAGGGACCCGGGGAAAAAAAGGCAGAATCCAGGATTAAGTTAACTTTTTATGGGGTGATTCAGGAAACAGCACATCTGGATTAAAAATGTTTTACTTTGCGACTCTCGTAACACTTTCAGGACAGGATCATTAAAACCAAACACATTTTAACATCACAGGGTCGAGGTTTAAGTTTAATTAATTCACAGTTTATCTGCAATTTGCACCAAATATTTAGCATCTAGTGACTGTAAGTAGCTACGATCCAGCGACCAGT